CGGAACTGGTGCCAGCCGGTGTCCCAGAAAGCAGGGCCCGATGGGTAGGAGGGGTGGGGAAGGATTAGGACAAGGGCCTCCTGGCAGGTCGGTTCTCAGAGCTGACCTGCCAGGCCTCTCCCACCCGAGGGAGATAAGGTTACAAATACAACCAGTCTTCAGAATTAGTAGACAGTTGAAGGCAACAGCTAAGTAATCACAGGCAATGCTAACAGAGCAGGAGGCTGTGCCTGGGACCTGGAGAACGTTTCCAGGACAGATCATTCCACACGAAGAGCAGCTTATAAAAACACCTGGAGTCCTGGCCGGTGTTGCTCATTGGTTAGAGCCTCAGCCCACGCACCAAGGGTCATGGTTCTATTCCCAGTCAAGGGCCTGTACCTGGGTTGCAAGTTCAATCCCCGGGCCCAGTCTGGGTGTGTGCAGGAGGCAACCAATCAATACCTCTCTCACTTCTTTCTCTCTCTCTCTCTCTCTCTCTCTCTCTCTCTCACTTCTCTCTCTCTCTCTCACCTCTCTCTCTCTCTCTCTCACTTCTTTCTCTCTCTCTCTCTCTCTCCCTCTCTCTCTCTCTCTCTCTCTCTCTCTCTCTCTCTCTCTCTCCCCTTCCACTCTCTCTTTTAAAAAATGGGAAAAATATCCTTGAGTGAGGATTAACAACAACAACAACATACTTGGAGAATGGAGAATGAGCATGATTAAAATGGATATGTGCAAATATACGTGGTGTATACACACACAACACCCGTGGACATGGGCATGTATGTCTGCCTACACATATGGAAAACAGTGGCCATTCTCGTGAGTGGGATAAAGGTGTTGCCAATAGTTTTGGGGGCAGAAGCTGTCGGTTTGTTGACAAACTCTACAATGATTCTTCAGAAATGTGCCCCGTCCAGAAAATCCAGCAGACCCGGGAGTGAGAGGAATGAGACCTTCGCCCAAGCTTAAGACCGACAAGTGGGCGTGGTCCCCAAGAAACTGCACTGCCACCCGCAACCCCCACATGTTTCTTTAAGGGCCCAGGCCATGAATCCAGAACTGGATCTGTGGGCGTGTGGCCGCCTGGGGCATCTGGGTGCCACCACGGGGAACACCGAAGGGGAGAGCACTCCCTTCAGTGGCAGTTTTTACTCGGGCAGCACAGCCAGCACCAGGGTCTAGGTGGCTTTACTCCGAGGGGACAGAAACCTTCTGTCAAAAATGACCAGGAAAACAATAACCCAAGTCTTTCAGAAACTAGCGGCACTTTTAGACAACCTGTATGTACACTTTTTACTCAAACAGTAAATAGCCATCTGGTGCTAAGATAGCTAAAGTCTATACAGCTCTTCTGGGCTAAATCTCCATATTTTTAGAGAGAGAATAGTTAGCCTGCACTTATAAGTTTGCCGCTTGCCCAAGGTTTTTTGGTGAAGTGGAACCAAAGCTATCCTCAGCTTCTGCACGCTGGCTGCAGCCCTGAACAATCCCCAAGGTTTACTGTAAAGGACACAAACCACACACCTCCAAAGGCCAGGCTGAGCCCAGCTCTTAGACTGTCGAACGCTGCTAAACACCCACTCGGTGTGTGCACAGGCGAGGCCCAGCAGGGAGATGGGACCCATCGCCCACCCGCCCCCCGCCCAGGGCCCACGCACGCCTGAGGCAGCGAGGGAGGGAATCCTGTGTCTGAACCACGTTATCTCCCCAATCCAGATGGTAAGCTCCTCCGCCCCCACCACAGAGCCTTGCTCTTTTCACTAACGGATCGCACATCACTCAAGATGTGCAGCTTCACCAGATAATGGTGAAGAGCGGTGGAGCCAGCCTGTCTATTGGAGCAGCGCTCCCTAACGTCCACTGTGCACACGTGACCTGGGACCTGCCCGAGGTCCGATGGGGCCTGAGGTTTATCTGTTGAGGCTCTCGCTCGGCCCGTGGGAGGCAGGTGGATGCAGAGGCTGGGAAGGCCATGAGGGGCTGTAGCAGCTGAGGGTCTTGGCAAAAACAGGAGAGGACCCGTAGGGCAGTGCCCACCGGAAGCTGCAGCAGATAAACCAATGTCAGTTTGCTGTGCCCAAAGGTCAAGCTGAGTAGTTTTTATCATTTTGGGCAAATTTTACCATCTTTGGTGATAAATCCCAAGTTCAAGAAACAAATGGGAAACTAGAGGTGCCCAGTGCTCCCTCAGCATCTGAGTGGCAGGAGATGAACTGCTGTTCTCGAGCCCCTGGGTCTGGACCTGCTTCTCTGGACCTTCTTCCCACCACATTCCTTCACCCCATCACCCCAGCCACCTTCTTTCTGCTCCCGGGGACCTACACTGAATAAGGACCCCCAGGGTTCTGAATTGGCCTGGGAAGTGCGTCTAGTAATAATTAATGTCGTTTTCTAATACTTTTTTTTAAAAAATCGAATTTATTTAAACAATACAACAAAATTTAATCAACAATATAGTTGCCGTTGTTTTCTACTACTTGTGCCCAACGCTCAGGAAGCATTTTAATCCCTCTGTTGTAAAATTCTTGTGATTTTGATGCAAAAAATTCGGTCAATGCATTTTTGAGGCATTCTTCATTATTAAATTTTTTTCCAAGAAGAAAGTTTTGCAAAGAACGAAACAAATGGTAATCAGAAGGGGCAATATCAGGAGAATATGCAGGTTGAGGGAGAACTTCCCATTCCAACTGGCGCAGTTTTTCAGCAGTGATTCTTGCAGTATGCGGTCGTGCGTTATCGTGGTGAAGAATTACGCCCTTCCGATTAATCAGCGCGGGTTCTTTTTCTCTTAAAGCTTGGGCTAACCGTTCCAATTGGGCACTATACACTGCACTTGTACTGGTTTGGTTAGATGGTAAAAGTTCATAATGAAGAATTCCTTTAAAATTCCACCAAACACACAACATCACTTTTTTAGCATGCAAGTCAGGTTTTGGCATGGGCTGCGGAGCCTCATTTTTGTCCAACCATTGAGGCCGCCTTTTCAAATTAACATACAGCTCCCATTTTTCATCTCCGGTAACAATTTGCTCTAAAAACGGCAAACTGTGACTCTGATTACGGTTGTTGTCGGTCAACTCATGAGGAACCCATTTTCCAAACTTTTGGATTTTGCCAAGTGCACGCAATTGATTGGAAATTATTTTTTGTGAACAATTTAAAGTTGTCGCAAGCTCTTGTTGGGTAATTTGAGGATTTTGCACCAAAAGAGCTTGAAGAGCTTCTTGATCAAAATTGGACACACGGCCTCGACCACTCTTGTCATCTAACGAAAAATTTCCCTCGCGAAATTTCTCAAACCAACGCTGGCATTTTCTGGCGCTAACTGGATCTTGACCAAGAGCACTACAGATGTTTTTTGCAGCCTCACTTGCTTTTCTTCCTAATTGGAACTCGTAAAGCATGCAGTGCTGAATATGCTCTTCATCCGCCATCTTCTTAGCCCTAGTTTTGCAACAAAAACCAAACCAAACACAAACTTTTTCAAGCAAAACTTGTTAATTGCACTTCACACGTTCTGTAGATACCACGTGTTTGAAGGTTATGTCAATACAAGTCAACGCCAAGCAAGATTTTAAACGAATATTTAAAAACGACAATAATTATTACTAGACCCAAAATATATATATATATATATATATATATATATATATATAATTGATTTTTTTACAGAGTGGAAGGGAGAGGGATAGAGAGTTAGAAGCATTGATGAGAGAGAAACATCAATCAGCTGCCTCCTGCACACTCCCTACTGGTGATGCCTTGACTGGAATCAAACCTGGGACCTTTTAGTCCATAGGCCGACGCTCTATCCACTGAGCGCTCTATCGGCGGCTGCTGCTTCTTTTAAAAAAAAATATGTTTATTGATTTCAGAAAGAAAGGGAGAGGGAGAGAGAGAAACATCAATGAAGAGAGAGAATCATCCATGGGCTGCCTCCTGCATGCCCCCAACTGGGGATCGAGCCCACAACCTGAGCATGTGCCCTGACCAGGAATCAAACCGTGACCTCCTGGTTCAAGCTGTGACCACTGAGCCATGCCAGTCGGGCATGGCTGCTTCTTCTCATCAATAGACCTCAGCTTAAATGTCACCTCCTCAGACACGCCCAGCCACCTCACTCCGTGCTTGGGGCTGTGTGGTACAGTGGCACACGGTGAAACGTGCTGAATGATCGCACATAAAAAGCTGTAAGACCCCCACCAGGAGCATCACCGTGCTCGTGACCCCTTGGTGGGGAGTGGGAGTGGCTGTAAAGGACGCAAAACTGTATTCGTCATGGGTCTGAGATAGTGCTGTACAGGGAACCCGGGGGACCGCCAGGCGTTAGCCAAAGGAGAGGTACCCCCGGGGAAAGGAGACCCAGCGCCCTGCGGTGATGGACAAAGACCCCAGGCAAGGCTGTCCCCACAGGAGGCAGCTCTGTCAGGAGGCCAGTACTCTTCCCGGACAGCGGGGTTTTGTTCAAACTCCTCAACACACACACAATATCCAGAAGGGTGCTTGGCCCTTAGAATATGTGAAGAATTTAAGGAGTCAAAGGATACAGATGTCAGGCGTATCCCCTCTTTAAAAGACTTGCTTTTATTTTTGGTCCCACTCTTACGAGTGCACTGAGAGCGATGATGATAATGATGTCAGCGTGTGTTTCCTTCAGCTCGCGTTCACGCTCACTTCTCCTGGGATGCGAGAACATGCCCAGTGTTCCTTCACATTCAGACAACCAGGACACCTGCCCAGGACCAGACACACACTCACAGGACTGTGCCAACGGCCTCCCCAATGCCCTCAACATTCATCATCGCTGTTCCCAAGGAACCAGTTCCTTCTATGGGAATCTGAAGACAATGAGCATTGCCAAGTACACAGGAAAGCCAGGCCTCCTCCAAACTGGGCAATTCTGGAAAACAGTTCAGCAGAGGCACCAGGTGCCAGCGTCTACAGCGGACACAGAGACCCAGGAGACCCGTGGGGGGCGGGGGGCACCAAGGTGTCTGCCGTCAGGGAGTACACAGTACCTGTAGGTGATCCTCACTTCTCTTCCAGGTTCGTCTTGCTCCCAGATCAAAGCCACATTCTCCGGGGCCTTCCGAACATGATGATCCAAGCAGTTGACTGCACAAAAACAGGTTAACAAGCATCAGACAGGGTGCTCTCAGAGTCTGAATCAGGGGAGGGCCTGGTTTGCTGTGACCTGCACTGCTCTCTGATGAGGTGGACCCTTCCCTCATCAAAGGTGAGGTGTCTACTTCCTTGCAAGGAGAAGGATGATTGTCAGAGCCTGGGAAAACAAGACAATAACTATGCACATTTGATCTCACAGGTTTGGGGTGATCCCCTGTGGACAATCTGAGGCAGGTACTTCAGACCAATAGTCTCCAGCCCAGCCACACATTGGTGTTACCTGGGCCGCCTCCAGGGGCCCTGATCCAATTGACCTTGTGGTTTCAAGGCTCCCTGGGTGGTGCTAATGTGAAGCTGGGGCTGAGCACCACAGCCTGAGCTGTTGGGAAAGAATATTTCATGCAAATAGGATGCTCCTGATGCAGTACAAGGTTCATGCAAGGAGCTCCCACATGTGGTAGAGATACACACAGTCCAGCCAAGGAGCCACATTCCTTCTCAGGTGTCCAGCCAGCACCCTAAAACCAGTCTCTGCTCCAAGGAGTGTTGCAATGATGGAGAAATGCAATGCTGGTTTGCCGGAAGGCTCTGCTCCCCTCCTGCCCCGCCCCCCCCCACCTCTTACTCAAGCTCAGGTCACATGATTTCCCATAAAAAGAAGAGGTCAGTTGTTCTGGTTTACTGTAAACCTGAAGATTAATAAAATCATGTTCATTTGCTAACATCCTGTTCAAGGTGAGCTTAGCTGTGGCTAGTAATGCCAGCCGGAAGCCGGCCTTTCACTGCTCACCTCCCCCACTGCAGGGGGAATAAACATCACAAACAGCTGTTGGGGGGTAGCAGCCATCTGTCCACCTGTTCTTCAGGTCACCCCAATGTCCAGACATGTAAATGGGTGTATTTGTTCTTTATGGAGCAGTTACTTATCTCCTCCAAATCAATCTCCTCCTAGTAACTGGGAGCTATTATCTCTAACTCAAGAGGCCATAACCAGAAACAAATGAAATACCGAATGTTCAAGTACCGTTATATAAATATAAGGAACTGACAGATACCATATTGTGAGTGAGAGGCTTTTACATGGGATAACCGTTCTGACAAAAGTGATGGGAGGTACCAAAAGATCATATGATTTCTCTAATGCTTGAGAGGGCGAACTCACGTGAAAATATTACATAATTTAGTTTTTATGTGTGTGTCTGTGTGTGTGTGTGTATGTGTGAGTGTGTGAATTACATTTTCCCCTCTTGGGCTATTTTATTCTTATAATAAAAAATTTCGTTTCAATTTCCTGGCTTCTAACATGTATATAAATTATATGTCAAAAATTTTAAGTAAGAGTTAGATGTCATGGGGAAAAAGTTATTAATATTATTACTGATGCAGAAACATTATTTGAATTATTAGAAAAACAGAATAGAAAAACTGCAAAAAAAAAAAACAGAACAGAGAAAAAACAATATGAGAAATTGAGAAGAAGGGGCTTGGTGGTAGAACCTAGATTTATACAATAAAGTGTGTGTGGTGAGAGAGAGAGAGAGAGAGGAGGGGGGAGTGGTCTGAAGTTGATAAATCAAAGTTTCCCACTAAAGCTAGAGATCTCTGGCTTCTCTTGAACAATTAGCAGCTGAGGACACACTCTCCCCTGAGGGGGAACTAGAGTTGGAGTCTCTGGCAGAAACCGAGGAGTTTGGCTTTGAATTTATCAAAAACAGAGCTCAAACCACACAAGATGCCAATCCAATTAGCCACACAAATGGCACATCCAAAGGGGAATCCTGGCAGACACCCAGCCCGAAAGGTTAATGACTGTGCCACTGTGCCCATCAAGACACCTCGAGATGTTCATATTTGTGCCATCAATAGATGAGTGGATAAAAAAGCTGTGGCACATTTATACAATGAAATACTATACAGTTGTAAAAATGATCTTTCTATTATCCTTTGAAACAGCATGGATGGACCTGGAGATGATTATGCTAAGCAAAATAAGCCAGTCAGAGAAAGACAAATATCACATGATCTCACTTATATGTGGAATCTAAAGAACAAAATAAACCGATGAACAAAATAGATTTAGGGGAGGCATGGCTACATGAAACAGATTGACAGATCTCAGAAGGAAGGGTGGGAAAGGGGATGGGAAAAGATTAATCAAAGTACATCTATGCATATATGCACAGCCCCTGGACATAGACAATAGTGTGGTGGAGGCCTCGTATGGGGCAGGGGTTGGGTTGAGAGAGGTAAAGGCAGGGAAAATGGCAGGCATCTGTAATACTGTCAGCAATAAAAATAATAAATTTTTAAAAACAATTGTGAGCTGAAACCGGTTTGGCTCAGTGGTAGAGCATCGGTCTGCGGACTGATAGGTCCCAGGTTCGATTCCGGTCAGGGGCATGTACGGTGGTTGCGGGTGCATCCCCGGTAGGGGGTGTGCAAGAGGCAGCTGGTCGATGTTTCTCTCTCATCGACGTTTCTAACTCTCATCTCTCTCCCTTCCTCTCTGTAAGAAATCAATAAAATTTTTTTTTTTTTTAAAACACTTGTGAGCTCTATAAGATTTCTGACCATGCCCTCACCTACATCACAGGTCAAACCCACCCTGCAGAGTCCAACCCTGTCCAAACACTCATCAAGCAGAGAGGACACACTTGTCATTTAATCTAAATGTCACTTTCTTAATACAAAATGGGGTAACAGTTCCTAACGCTGGGCATGACCATAGGAATTAGATGCCATTGGAGAGTTTCCCGTCACAGGGTCGGGTTGTGTGCAGTGTTCCCAGGGACAGACAGTGTCTCAGCTGCCATGGTTTACACTCATGTGACCTAGAGAAAGCACAGTGCAGGGACTGAGTGACAGTGGCTCTAAAACAGCATGTGATCTGCTGGCATTTAACACATACATATGGTTCCTGCTGTTGCTCCAACTTCCGGGAGAAAAGCAAGGATAAAAAGAAGAAATTCTTGCTCCTCCACATTTTAAAAAGCGTCTCCACCCATAGAACTGAGAAGCTGGACAAGAAAATTCAGTTTACAAGCATTGCCAGGAAGAGTTGGGCAAGACCCTCATGCAATGCAAGGCTCAGCTCAAACCCCACCTCCTAACTCAAATTTCCCAGCAATGATCTCTCTTTGTCTCCAGCACCCAGTGGCCCACGCCATTTAACGCTTAGTTATTCTGCCCCGTGTTCCCATTCTGGACACAGTGCTGCCTCTGCTAAACTCTCCTCCGTCTAATTCATAAGATCCCTGAGAGCAGGGACCTTGTCCCTATGACTCACACAATCATGGGGGTGTGGATTGGGGGCGACATCATAATTCTTCCCTTAGCAACTGTAAATGCTTTGAGGAAGTAACCCTGGAGTGGATTTGCTCATTTACTGATTTGTGATTCATCTTCTCATCAGAATGCACTCAGTGGCACTGGGGCATTTTCTGCACTGCTCCTCACTCTTCATGAGTTGGAACCTTTATTTCCACATCTGTACAGGGGGACCACCAACCACTTCACACTGGTGTCATGACAATGAGATGAGAAGAGGCTCCATCATGTTCACCTCAAAGCAGGTCTACCATTGAACCTAGCACAGCTCTGCAAATAGCTCAGCAAATGACTGCTGATGGTTCAAAGGTTTGGGATTTTGGGGGGTTTTTTGTTTTGTTTCTTTAAGAGAGGTTATAATATCCATTATAAAGATGGCACACACACTTATGCAGGAATTTTCAAGAACTCCTGTCAGTTGTTTTAATACAACCTTCCCCTCCCCAACTTGAAGCAAACACACATATAGAAATTCTATGTTAATCAAAAGAAACAAGGGAGTTAATATTCACAAAAGGACTCACAATGGGTTTTCCTTAAATAGAAAATCTCCCTGGCACAAGGTAAGATTACATCAGTCACAAAAATTGTATCTGCCAACTCTCCAGAAGCATCTGCCCTTTAAAGTAAGCGAGGCCTCTGAAATCTACGGACAATTCGATCCCTTTTGGAGGACCTTTCTCCCAAGACCTGGGGTTACATTTTCATTGCAAGTTCCTGGAAGGACCTTGGACAAGTTACTTCAATTGCTGAGAAATAAGCAAAACACAGGACCATAGTGTCTTGCAATTGTCAGTGAATCTGCCTTCTGAATTATTGGAGGCACGTCATAAAAGAAAGATAGCAAAATGGTTCCCATTGCCACAATGAATATCCCCAAAAGCATCCAGAAACCTCTGTGTTCAATGCTTGGTTAAAAATAGTTTCTCTATACCCTTGCTTGAAAGAAAGAATACACATATTAAAAAAAAAAAAAAAAATCAGACTCAGAATTTGATATTTATAAAAGATGTTTGGCCGAAAACAGTTTGGCTCAGTGGATAGAGCGTCAAGCCTGCGGACTGAGGGGTCCCAGGTTTGATTCCAGCCAAGGGCATGTACCTTGGTTGCGGGCACATCCCCAGTGGAAGGTGTGCAGGAGGCAGCTGATCGATGTTTCTCTCTCATCGATGTTTCTAACTCTCTATTCCTCTCCCTTCTTCTCTGTAAAAAAAAAAAATCAATAAAATATATATTTTTTAAAAGATGTTTGGTTGTGTGTTTTAAAAGCAATATACATTATTACTCTTCAGTTCTGCAATTGCACCTTCCTATCATCTTGCGTTTATACACCACAGAGCAGAACATCGGTTGAGCCATATGGAGGACAGAGCTAGATCTCAAAGCCTGGGAGGAATCCTTTTTAGATCTTAAGAGCCCTGTTGACCACCTGCGTGTCCTCCTGACCCATTTCCAGCCTAGTCCAGACTGATCAGACGCAAGCGCATGTGGTCCTGTTCAGAGGAAACACGGAACTCAGCAGCACTGCTGAAGGTGAGGCTCAATGTCGCAGCCCTCTAGCCACCCCCAGCTCCCTACTCCCACAGGATTCATTCATTAATAACAAAGGCCAGTGACTGGGTGTGAGTCAAAACTGTGCAGAGATTTGACTTAATTTAATGTTAACAACAGCCCTGGGTGTCCCCAGGCCATCCACTTCGGGTCAGAAGAAACCTAGCAGCTTCTGCTGTAGTGTCTGTGACTTCTGGTCGATGTCCCCTGGGCCTGTGTAAGTGGTTTAGGACACAGTTCCAGCCGAGCCAGCCTGAGTCCTCCCAGTCAAGGCCCCAGACTGGTGATGACAGCCTCAGACTCTGATCCATGGGGAGCAGAAGCAAGCCATGCCCATGGGGCCCTGTCCAAAGTCCTGACCCACAGCACTGCCAGAGCACTACGACTCTTGGGGGCAGTTTGATATGCAGCAATAGTAACTAGAACACAATTCAGACTGTCTTGTCGTGCAGACAAGGAAATCCACGTAGAGAACAGTAAGGGAAAAGGAAGGATGCAGACCCAGGTGGAATTCTCAGGACATACCCAGAACCACTAAGCTGTACTGCACCACCCATCTGCCATTTCTGTTTGCTTACTAGAGTCATCTCCAGGACACGAATCCCAATTCTGCCCATTTACAAGTGACTTGTCTGCCCTAGTTTGGAGCCTAAAGGTCAGTGGTTCTCAACCTTGTGTGTCCCTCAGGAGCACCCGGAGAGCTTATAAACACAGATGCCAGAGCGCCACCCTCAGGGCTTCAGATTCCAGGGTCTAGGATGAGGCCCAAGAACTTGCATGTCTAATAAAATTCCCAGGTGCTGCTGGTCTGGGGACCACAGTTTGAGAACAAGTGGTACAGATTTTCCTAAAGGTGTAATAGGAGTTTCAAAAGTGATATTTCCTGCCCTAACCAGTTTGGCTCAGTGGATAGAGCATCGGCCTGTGGACTGAAGGGTCCCAGGTTCGATTCCGGTCAAGGGTCGGCATGTATCTCGGTTGCAGGCATATCTCCAATAGGGGGTGTGCAGGAGGCAGCGAATCAATGTTTCTAACTCTCTGTCCCTCTCCCTTCCTCTCTGTAAAAAATCAATAAAATACATATTTTGTTTTTTAAAAAAGTGATACTCCTTTGGAATAAGCCATCATTACAGTGACTATCAGACAGACAGATCAGCCCAAAGCATACCCACCATCCCACAACTATCTAGGGGGCTCCTGGCCCGGCCTTTTTCACACCATCACCTCTGTGGTTTGCAGACACTATCAAAGGGCAGAGATATTCCTGACAGATGAAAGGGGGAACGTGCACATTCAAGGTGAGAATGCTGCTGGAAACCTGTTTTTCCAGAAGGCAGTTTCTAAAGCTCAGTTTCTGGTTAAAAAAATTAATTAATTAATTAAGTGAAGGAAAAAAGAGGCACTTCTGCTGGCCAACCACTTGTTGAGCCTGACTGAGTGAAGCTCAAGAGGCCCTTCCTGCCTGTCCCGTGAGGTCCATCCCCAGTGAGTGATCTGGGAGTGAGAGGCGACAAGTATGCCTGAGCCAACCCTGACCATCCCCGGAGGCCTCAGCCCTCCACAGTCCCGGTTGCTTGCACAAGAGCTGCACATTGCATGTCCTGCTCTCTCCTGTAAGCGCTCTCCTCCCTTCAAGGGTAACTGCAAGCCTAAGGGTTTGTTTTGTCCACTAGTTCAAGGACACTTGCTGCTGACTCAATTTTAAAGAAAACACTTATCTCGTAAGTGATTCATTTTAAGTAAACCATCAAAATAGTATGCAAAATGGGCGGGGGGGGGGGGGGGAGGGCAGGGGGAGAAATCTAGCCCAAAGTTCTTCCCTAAATTTCTTTGTTTGAAAAATAACTGCAAGAGCCCTAGCTGGTTTGGCTCAGTGGACAGAGCGCTGCCCTGCAGAACAAAGGGTCCTGGGTTCAATCCCGGTCAAAGGGCACATACCTTGGTTGACCTGGTGAGTAGAGGAGGCAGTCAGTCGATGTGTTTCTCTCACATCGATGTTTCTCTCTGTCTTTCCCTCTCTCTCTAAAAGATCGATGGGAAAATATCCTCAAGTGAGGATTAACAAAAAATATACTTTAAAAAAAAAAGAAAGAAAAAGAACTGCAAAACACTACCTATAATTGTATGGCTATTTCTAAATATGATAAAATTGCTACTACTTACTGATCACCAGTAAGTGCTGGGCCTGTCCCACACCTCCAGCACTCCGTCCTCACAATCAACCTTCAGGTGGGCTTACTGTCCCGGGTTCACAAATGAGGCGACAGGCTCAGAGGAGAAGTCGCAGGTCCAGTAAATGGTGACGTTGTGCACACACCAGACCCTACCAGGAAGTTCAGGTCTTGGCCAGGGACCTGACCCTGCCATTAAGATCTACATGCCCATCCCCCGTCCCCCCCAACCTCCCCACCCCCGCCCCCAGAAACATCCCCTAGACCCCACTTCCGCCTAAAGGGGTACCTCATCCTCCCTAGCCATACAACCCCCCTGGCACTCCACCTAGAGATAAATCCCCTGCTCCCCAGGCTACCCACACACCCCAGTCTACCCTGCCTGCATGGCCACCGCCTCCAGTTCCTGGGCCTTCTCTCCTTGCTGCCTCCAAGCACAGTGTACTCATCCCACCGCCCAAATCCCAAATCCTAACGGTAGTCAGACTCCATCTCAGCAGATACCAAAGGCCCAGGGGCTAGGGGGGCTGGTTTCTGGGACCTCAAAGAGAACCAGATCTAAAGCAAGCCATGGGTAGGTGTTTTTGGGAGATGGGGGAGGGGGAGAGGACTTGGGAGGGGCACGGTCATCTGAAACTGAGAGCTGGGAGGCCCGCCCGTTCTTTTCCTCCCTCCCACAGGCACCGCCAGGGAGCGAGGAGATAAGTGATTCCAGCTGCGGGCCCTGGGCTTCCTCCTCCCAGGCTACGCGCCACGCCACCACTACCACCACCGCTCGGTTTGTTTACTTGGGCAACCTATCTCCCCAGGCCAGTCGCCGCCAGGCAGGCAGCTAGCTGGTGGTAACACCGAGTGCGGGCAAGTCCCCACTACTCCTGTGCACCCGGCACTCCCCACCCCGGCCTGCCCCGGGTGTCCACTGCTGCTCCCCGTGGTGACACTTGAGAGCCCACCACGGGAGGAGGCGGCAGGGCAGGGCCAGCAGCTGGGCCGCCCGAGCTGGCACCCGGGCGGGCGCGGGCTGGAGCCGGGGAAGTGGAGAGGGGACGCGGGGTGACAGCGCAGAGGGAGGTGCCGGCCCTCGGGCCAGCGGCCCGGCCCGGACGGCTGCGCTCGGAGTGGCCCCTGGACGTCTGAGCTGGGGGCGCCCTGCTCCCCGCCGCCCACTCACCAGACACGTTCAGCTGGCCTCCCAGGAACCAGCCGATCTTGCCGCTGTTCAGGTCACATTCCCAGACGGTGTGGAAGGGGACGTCCCACACCAGCATTTCGCGCGCCAGCGGCCCCCAGAAGGCGTCGGGCTGCCGCTCCGCCAGCGCTTTCAGCTCGGAGTACGTGGTGGGCAGCTCCAGCGCCCCGGTGCAGGGGGCGCAGCTGCCCGGGCGCCCGGAGGCCGCCCTGCGCGGTGCGCTCCCTCCGCCGGGCGGCCACCCCCGGGGCCCCGCGCGCCCCCGCAGGACGCTCCCGAGCCGCCGGATGCCGCAGCCCACACTGCGCGCCGCCATCGCCCCAGCGCCCCGAGGCCTCTGCACCCCCGGCCAGGCTCCCAGCCGGTGGGGAGGAGGAGGAGGGGGAGGGGGGTGTCGCTCTCTCCGAGGGCCCGCCCCGTCTCCGCCCTCCCGCCGCCACCCACTCCTCGGACCCCTCCGGTCCTGAAGCCGCCGTCAGCACCCCCCACCCCGCCTGGTGAGGGGACCCCGAAGGAGGAGGGATAGCGGCCCGGGGAGGGGCGCTGGGGAGTCCCCGCCCCGGCGAGGCTGAGCCCGGCTGCCTGCGGGGCCTGCGCTCCGGCCGGCAGCGGGCTGTGGCCGTTTTAGTTTCAGTTTGAGGTTCAGGTTCGGACCGAACCCCGGGGACACGTGCGCCCCTGCCGGGCCCGCGCCCCGGACTTCCTGGCCCCAGGAAAGGAGCCTCGTAGAACCATCGGCCAGCGCAGCGGAGCACACAGGTGGGCGCGAGGAGCGGAGGCAGGTCGCTTGGTATCTCAGGCTGAAGTCTACCTGTCAGTGTCTGTGCCATTCAGAGAGAGCCGCCTCCCCACGCCCCTCGTGCCAGGCCGGTCCTTCTGTCCGCACACACAAACTCAAGGAGAAGCTGATCAGGTGCCCCCCCGCCCAGGAGGCTGTGGGGACCCTGGGTGGTCCATTGCTTTTATCACCCAGCTGCCTGGTTTGGAAGCGTGTGACTTTGGGGGTTTTCTCCAGTTGCCTCAGTCTCCGTGGCCTGGGTTCAAACCCTGGATTTCCTAGCTCTGTAGTCTTGGGCAAGTTCCTGAACTTCTCTGTGCTTCGTTTTACTTCTGTGGAAAACGGGAGTAATATCTCCAGTGAAGAATAAATGCTATCGTGAAGAATAAACGAGATTGTGTTGGAAGCGTAGAAGGCCAGTAGGAATGCCCAGTGTGAGGTTGAGGGAAACTATTCATTCAATGCAAACAGCTCAATTGTGATACAGCATAGCTATGCAACCAGCAGCACCTCTCCAGCTAGACAGCTCTGCTCCCTCTCCAAAGAGACATCTTTGGTGTTTCAGCTCCTGGAAAGGATATCTTAAGGTGGAAAGGGGCAGTGCACTCCCAGAGATAGAGGAGAGCTGACATATAAACAGAAGGCCCTGCCTCTGGCCCCTGATGCAAATGAGGACTCCAAATCCTCTCAGTTTGATTGGTTCCAGAGGCACTGTCCTGTTTGGTCAGAATGGTGCTTCTCTGATTGATCAGTGAAGATGTTGAGGGAGTTATACCCCTGCAGATCCCATTGGAAAGGGAAAGTCTCAGTTCTATTGGTTGAAATAGGATTCCAGGAATCCTATCTAATAAAAGAGTAATATGCAAATTGACCGTCACTCCAGCACATAAGATGGCTGCCCCCTTGTGGACACAAGATGGCCACCACAAGATTGCCAGCAGGGAAGGGCAGTTGGGGGCAATCAGGCCAGCAAGGGAGGGTAGTTGAGGGCGATCAAGCTTGCAGGGGAGGGCAGTTAGGGGTGACCAGGCCTACAGAAGAGGGCAGTTAGGGGCAAACAGCCTGGCAGGGGAGCAGTTAGGCATCAATCAGGCTGGCAGGGGTATGGTTAAGGGGTGATCAGGCTGGCAGGCAGAAGTGGTTGGGGGAAATCAGGAAGGCAGGCGAGCAGTTGGGAGCCAGCAGTCCTGGATTGCGAGAGGGATGTCTGACTGCCCATTTAGGCCCGATCCCAGTAGTCGAATATCCCTTGAGGGGTCCCAGATTGGAGAGGGTGCAGGCTGGGCTGAGGAACACACATCCCCACCCAGTGCCGAATTTCATGCACCGGGCGTCTAATTCCTTTATAAAGGGCTGGACCAGATGGCAGGAACACAGTTCCGTTGAAGGCAGGAGGCAGTAGCTTATTTCAGGCTTTTCTATGAAGTGCCATTTGCATGAGAAGCCCCTGTGTGGAAATGGCTGCTAGGCTCTGTTTTTGTTTGTTTGAATCCAGTTAGCCACCAGGAGCCCATCTTATTGGGTATCTTCTCTCTCAGGTCACACCTGGAATCAGCACCTGGGGGCTTAATAGTAGAGGTGGTGTTTTTCTTGTCAACCCAGAAAGGATAGAAGGGAACTCATAGAAACTTGTCTCAACCAGCTTCCTAAATGTTTCAACACCCAACAAGTAAACACATAATAAAGAAGACAAGCACATGGGAAAGGGGGTTTTTGAAAACTGGTTGGTTGAGTTTTTTGGGTTTGGGCAAGATTCTGCACTCTTAGCTGTGAGATTTGCAGAGGGAATGCCCCTGCGATTCTGCAGTCCTTTAGCCCCCGGCCACGTCGAATACCTGCTTCCTGCCACAGAAGAGAGGATTTTAAGGCTGGAAAACCAGTGATAATAGCTAGCACTAGACATGTGCCCTGATCTTTGCTCACTTGATGTGCATTTTTTTTTATTTTTTTTTTGCTTGTTTCAAGGCATTTAGTGCTGTCAACTCCTGCCCATCATAAACCTCTACTGGAATGAATGAGGAGACTGAGACCAAATGAATCAATTGACTTACTAAAGAATGCATGGACTGATGGAGTAGCAACATAAACACCCAGCACCCTCTATTCCCCCATTCAATATCAAGTCACCACTTGGCCTGAACCCTCATTTTTAATGAAAGAAAGGCCATGATTGTGCAGGGGGTCCCAAAGATAGCGACCAATGCTGTATCCCCTGGGGTAAGTGTGTGAGAAGTGCACTCCATCAAGAGGAGGAGTGCACTTGTTCCCTCCCTGCCTTGAACCTGGCCTGTTGGATTGTTCTGACAGAACGAGGTGGGAATGCTGCTCTGACAGCCCCAGGTTTGGGCCCTGTGAGGCCAGGGCTGCACCCCTGCTGTCTTGGGGCCCAGCTGCCATGCTGTAAGGGAGTGGGGTCTAGCTTTCCAGAGGAAGAGACCCTACAGAGAGAACACTGAAGAATGTACATAGAATTGACTCTTCTTTAAGTAAAGAAGTGCACAGTTCCCACTTCCTTCAGGTTGGATAAAGAAGCCACTATAGCCGAAACCGGTTTGGCTCAGCATCGGCCTGCGGACTCAAGGGTCCCAGGTTCGATTCCGGTCAAGGGCATGTACCTTGGTTGTGGGCACATTCCCAATAGGGACTGTGTAGGAGGCAACTGATCAATGTTTCTCTCTCATCGATGTTTCTAACTCTCTATCCTTCTCCTTTCCTCTCTATAAAAAAATCAATAAAATATATAAAAATAATAATTGATGAACTTTAAAAAAAAAAAGAAGAAGAAGAAGAAGCCACTATATGTACATAAAACACCTCAGAACCCATCAGGTGGCACAGAATTGCACTTCCCACGGCCTGAGTTACCCGATTTCCTCATGAGCATCACAGTCTCTGAGGCCAAGACTGTCCCTGCTGTGTCCTGGAAGGAGATCTCTCTGAGCTAGAACAAGCTGGAGCCACCCACCCCTGCCCTAGGCATGTCCACTCAGCTGTGTCCTGTGGGGTCTGGATAGTTCTGGGAGAACAGAGGTTACCCAAGCCACACTGATCACATTTCCTCCCCAGAAAGCCCCCCTCAACCTTACTGTGAGCAGGGCCCTCCAGTCCTGAAAGCTGTAAAGTCAGGAAGGACTGAGGAGGTTTTCTGTAGGAACCTTATATCTCAGACCTGAAGGAATCTTATATCTCAGATCTGAAGGAACCTTATGTCTCAGACCTGAGGTTTAACTGGAGAGGATGGTACAGCCACAATTGCTGACCCTTAGAATCCTTATAGATGCTTTGATCATCATTTTACATGTAAGAAAACAAGCACAGAGAGGATAGATGCTCAAGGCCACACAGCTAGCAAGTGGTAAGGCCTTAGCTTTCTGCCTCCACAGCTTCTAGTTTATTTTGTTCATTTGTTTTTTGTTACTCGTCACTGAGGATATCTTTGCCATTGGTTTTTAGAGAGAGTGGAAGGAAGAGAGGGAGAAACATCAATGTGAGAGAGACACATCAATTGGTTGTCTCCTGGACCAGTCCTGACTGGGGCTGGGATCAAACCTGAGACCCAGGTACAAGCCCTTGACCACTAATCGAGTCCACAAACCTTTGGTGCATGGGCTGATGCTTTAACCGTGGAGCCAGGCCAGCCAGGGCCAAAATTTCTAGTTGTAGCAGCTTTTATCGTTTGTCTTCATAGGACCTACAACCAATTTTACTTAGAGAGTTGCAGCACTTGGATGCCAGTCTGCTTTAACAGATCCCCCGGGAGACCCACCTGCCCCCGGGCAGCAAGACCTAACATCAAGTCACCAGATCTGTTCACTGTAGTCTGGTGCCTTCAATGCACCTGTAAAGCACTCTGCTTCTTCTTCCCTGTATTTTTCCTTTTCCTCATTCCTCCATCTCTTCTTTTCAAGGATACACAAATACCCTGTTTCCCTGAAAATAAGACAATATCTTATATTAATTTTTTCTCCCAAAGTTGCACTAGGTCTTATTTTCAGGGGATGTCTTATTTTCGGGGAAACACGGTAGTACCTGTGGAGCCCATTCTGTGTGCGCGGTTCACAGGGGGCTGTCAGCTCAACAAGAATGAACCCAGCACTGCCCTTGAACTCAAAACGATGATTGGGGTAGGAGTGTCGGAAGGAACAGAGAGACACACACCAGCTCAAATAAGAGAGATTCAAAGCAAATCCAAAACAAAAAAATCCACAAGTAGAGCCTTGAAAGGATTTGGAGGAAGAAGAGACCCCAATTGGCTGGGAGTATGGGAGTGGTTCCTTGAGAGTGAAGGGCTCACCTTCCCTTCCAGTTCCCATTTCCTGGTGTTCCATGAACTCAGTGGTAGCAATGACATGTGGGAGGCTATGTAATCTGCTTCATTGGGATGGGGGGGGGGCGGGAGAGAGCGGGGCGGTGAGCTGCAGCAAAACCTTTGTCTCTGTCTTGTAAGTTGCACACTCCATCTTTGTAGGGCTTACCCCACAATGCATAGCGACTCCAGGATGAGCAGGTTCACCACCAAAGAGCTGGCACAGGACACA